CACACACAATGCTGAAACAACAACTTTAAAAGAAGCATCCTACTGGTAACTGCTTCAGATTGTATTGGGGTGGTAGATTATTTCCTTTGTGAATTATGTCATTAAATATCTGTTGACAGTTTTTTACAGTGAAACACAAACCTTACCCTATTGAAAAATAACAGCATGAACAGAACACAAGACTTCACTTATCCTGTACAGATTTCTCAACTACTTTTGCAAACTGTCTAAGGAAAGTCATTTTTTCATTGTGCATTTCTTGCAGTTTCTGCAATTTCTGTTCCTCCTTTTCCTCTTTCTTTTCAACAAGCTCTTTAAACAGAAACAAATTCGCTTCTCTCACTTGGGGCTTTCTTTCTTGGTTTTTTCTTGTTAATGGCATCTTCATGGTCATCACTTTCAGTGCATTCTGCATCTTCCCTCTCTGTTGAGCTCTCTGAACTTCCCTATTTACCTCTCTTCACCAGCCCCTTTCTACTACTGAACACAGCTTGTAGTTTGATGTTGTCGTCACCATGGAATATACCATGTAGTTCTTCATAGCGGAGCTCTGGCGAGCGAAGCGCGCCTTCGGAGCACTATGGGCAAGTAAATCTAACCATGCCAGAAAATTTGGTAATCACCTCACCGTACACCGCCAGCCCGTCCGTCCGCACCACAGGGAAACCAATGTTCAATCTCACACTTTCTAGCCAGTTTGGGAGCACAGCAAGACTGATATTGCACATTAAAGTTGTGAGTCAAAACAGAGTATCCGCTGACCGTATCGCGGGCTCAGGTGTCAACCCATCGAGGTCTAGTATCTTTTTGAAGTTATCCGCTGACAAAATCCTAGTTTTCAAATGATCGCAGGCTCAAGTTTAATTTTATTAAATTCATATGAAATATGTTGTTTTATATGTGCCACACAATTAAAATTCTGATTTTAAACTGACCTCGGAAGCTAAAATTCAGCCAGTTTTGACAGGCAGTCAAGACATGCCAGTTGCTTTTGACTTTTCTCACCAAGGTCACATGTTGGTCACGCTCTACATCCAAATTTTTATGCTCTGATTGGTCAAAAATTGACAGGTGAGTTCATGCGGAAAATTTATGCTGCCTCTTGAAACTTGTTTACTTTGACAGCTGAAGCTTACAGAGTTTTGTGTCAACTTGTCATGTTTTTAACTGTCTTTTTCCACTAAATGTACAAAATGAAATTCAGCTGCTATTCAAGAGTCTTCTGTTATTCATGGATAGTTTGTTTATTGGGCTCTTGGTTGTGAAATACGTCGCTTGTCAAAGTTGGAAATCCGATTTCGGATGGCATCGTTTTCGTTTTTTACCTTGCTTGATGCGTAAGATGGTTGAAAAGTCTGAAGCGATTCTGGCCTTTCTTGGTAGTTTTCAGTGCATCTCGAACGGTAAGCTTGAGTAATTGGTGTATTTGATGTTTGTTTTTTTATATCTAATTTAATAAAGTCGAGCGTAGTTTATGCACGTTTGTAAGATTTGAGACAATGATCTGACCGAGTATCAGGTTCGATTATAAGCTTACAGAACTTTAAAAAGCCTTTAGACATTTCCTCGCCGCAAACAGAAAGAAAACGTTCCAAAGAATATTTGGTGATAATTCTGGCTGTAAAAGAAGGCTTTGAGCGATTTTCTTGCCTCGAGTTCATTATTGAAAAAAGCAAACACCGGAAAGCCAGCTTAAAACATAAACGAGGATTAGAAAATTTGTAAACTGTCAGCCAAAAAAGTGGTCACGGTCGCTTATGGGAGGTGGTCCTTTACAAGAGGTTCCGGTATAAGGCTTTGACCGAGAACATTTTTGATGTTTTGGAAGGGTGGTTGCTTATGGGAGGTGGTCACATGTGGATTTGCGACTGTAATGAGATTTTGGAAATGCTCGACTTTCAAAGTAGAGCGGAAAAAGAAGTGAAAGGTAGAATTCAGAGAATCAATGGTACTATCGATAACGTTGTCTGTATTTGCATAGACTACGAGTAGTCCCCCATTTTTCCTCAGGGATAGTAGAGCGAGCAAAAGGCGAGCGCACATGAAAATCAACCCACGGAAAAAAAGGTGACACGCGGCGGGGAGAGAGAAAAATGAGGGACTACAGACAAAGCATAAGCTTTTGACCCTTCACGGCCGACTGATTTCAGAGTGTGAAGTTCGTATCCCCTTCCAAATCAATTAAGCACATCCAATTGGATTCCTTCCCTCATTGAGCTGTCATTGCTCTTGTCATCGGTAAACAGCAGGGGATACTTATTGCAAGCAAAAGAAAACCCAGATACTAATTTTCTTCACGGTTGTTTCGCATGAAGAACTTGATAGTGTAGGTAACACACGACTTTTACTCATGCCAAAATACTGCTTGTTCCAATGAATTTTTTTCTCTGATGGATTGTGCTCTGGAGGAAAACGTTTTGACTGAGCAAATGTGATTTTTGCCTCTTATTTCATACTGAGGGGTCATGACACGCATATTAATTATGGTTGCCCACTAATGCAAGAGCATTTTATTTCACCTCTTTTGAAAAGATCTGAATAATTTTAAGCGATTTTCTTTTTGGCCGTAAATGTGATGGTTTCCTGCAATGTTTTGTCACGTTGGGCCCAGCTCGTTAGCGTTTTTAGCAGGACAGATAGCGATATCCAAATCTCGAAGAATGGATTGCAGCTTAAACTAACACTACATCAACTATGGAGAACTGCTATGTGACTCAGTGATGACTGCTCATGAATTTTAACTGCTGCTTGTTTTTCTGGAGATAATGTGAGTATTTGGACTGGAGTGCGTAGTTCCTCCTTTGGTGATAACTTTTGAATAAGCTTAACAGCCTTGCGACTGTTATGTTATTCAATTCCCACTTTGTGATCAGACAAG